GCGCCAGACCCGGCCGTGCGCATGACGTCCGCCCATATGCCGGCCCTGCGCAAGTTTGTGGGCGCGCCTGGCGTCGCGCGTGCCATCCTCCCCGACAGTGGCGTCCTTGCCGTCGACACTACTACCTACGCTGCCCGCGTCGCCGACATCGTTGGTCTGCTTGAGGCCGCCCCGCGCGGGCTCACCGACCTGCGCATCGCTCTGCGAGCATGGGACGAGGAGATACTATACGCCGCGGCACAGCTGCTCCCCGAGCTCGAGCGTCTCGAGATATGGTACCATGGAGGGAGCCCGCGCGAGACCTTCATCATGTCGCTGGGTACGCAGCTCATCCCGCGAATGACGCGCCTGCGGGTGCTCAAGGTCTTCCCGCTGCCGGGCGCCGGCGGCGCGGCGGATGCGACGGATGCCGCGCGAGCCGACGATATGCACAACGAGAGTCGGTGGAAGCCAGAGCAACGGGGGGTGTTCTCGCGCGCGCAGATGCGCAGCTTCCTGAGTGCGTGGACAAGATATTGTCCATCGCTGCGGGAGGTGAAGCTCGCGCCGTTGTCCTATTGGGTGAGGGAAGATGGTCTGTCTGCTTGGGATTGTTTCAGCGAGTAAAGACGCTTTTGCTCTTGGACGCTCTGCCGCATTGTAAAGTATATAACCACTGGTCACTATCGAGTGGCGTACGATCCGCCTCTATCGCACGTATCACTGTCTAAACACGGGTTCAGCACAATTGAGGTATCTCATATATCGAAGGGGGGCTTCCTGCCCTAAGCATACACTTAAATACCGTTGTTGAACGCATCCTGCGGATCTCTGTGGGTAATTATTTGTCACATATTGATCACCTTCAGAAAGCAACAAAGCAAAATAGAAGTACACACAAGCGCACTCTTTCTGAAGATAATGACCGCGTGCGTTGGGACCAAGTTCCATCAGCTTGATACGCGATTTTGCTCAGCCCTCCTTAGAGACGAATTTTTGTACAGTATCCCCTCACTCTAAGTGCTTCTCATGGTCTTGTCAGTCGAATGGCATCAAGGTCACTCCACTCGGACCGCTCGGGTTTCTGGCATGCTGTGGTCCTGACCTTGTGGCCCGCGGTAGCGATGCCACTCTCAAGCTTCAAGCTCTTTCTCAACTTCAAGTTCAACAGATTTACTTGCACTTCCGCATGCTGTCCTTCTCGGCATCCGGCAGGGATATCGGCCAGTATCCCTCTGATTCCCCGGGATCTTGGATTCTCGGAAGACAGCCGCAAGGTGGACTCGCTTTCCACCGTGCACGCCCAGACGCTGGCTTCTGCGCCGGCTTACTTGGTCTGCCCTCAGCGTAAAGCAGCGGAGTAGAGCCGCTGTACCACCTGACTCAGCGCTAAGGTGCCGGGCTTCACGGGTATGTCCCTTCTATATACCAGGACCTCTTCGCGGCTCAGCTGGAAGATTGATCTGTTCACCAGGCCGACATAAGACTGGCATAAAGATGACAACGCGAATTGCCACCGTCTTCGGCGCTACGGGCCTGCAGGGTGAATATTCAGCGTGGTTTCCATCTTCGCCATCCCAATTTTGCACGTTTAGGAAACTCTATCGTGCGTGCTCTCCTCAAAGATGGCACCTTCACACCGCGCGTCGTTACGCGCGATGTCAATTCCGGCTCCGCCCAAGTCCTCGCCAAGCTTGGCTGCGAAATCGTCGCCGCCGACTTGGGCGACAAGGAAGCTGTGAAGAAGGCCGTGTCGGGCGCCGAGTGTGTCTTCGCGGTGAGTGCGCTATTCGTCTCCCCTTGTTTACGTGAATGACAAAACAATTCTCGCAGGTCACTTTCCCATTCGGTTCGGAGTCGTCCGACCTTGTCCAAGGTATCAACATCGTCGACGCAAGTAAAGAGGCCGACGTTCATTTTGTGACATTCAGGTAAGCATATGCATGTGTTTGCAAATCTTACCTCGCGCGCTGAGATGCCTCATAGCACTGTGCCCAACATAAGCGAATCATCGAACGGAAAGTACACCAAGGTGGCATACTGCGACGGTTCATTGTGAGCATCCCGGAAATCAAACGCTGACCCGCGATATTCCAGAGAAGGCGAAGGTCCAAAAGTACTTGGAGGCGTCCGGTCTCGCCCCCGCATGCATCGCAACGGGCAGTTTCCTCCAGAATATAACCAAGAAGTTTGCTGCGTCACTTCCACATCGCACGTCGGCATGCCTAACCGCGGCGTGAGGATGATGGGAATTCCTTTCGAGAAGACGGAGGGCGGCTATCTGCTTCAGACATACGCGCATCCCAACAGCGAAGCAGTGTATTCCTGAATCGAGCGCGACATGGGCCCGGCGGTCGTTACGCTGAGCAAAGGTGAGTGATAGCAGCCTTTCGCAGTGAAAGCGGCGGACTCATATCAGCACAACTGGGAGCCCCGTCATCGATGAGATGGTAAGCCGTTCGATTGATCAGTCTCGTCACTGAAGCCGGACGCCCTTCCAGTACAGCTTCATTGCCGAGTTCTCATGGTATGCGGGAGCCACGATCCCTGATTTACGGTGGGAAAAGCTGGGTGTGAAGCTGGGGACCATCGAGGACCGAACTCAAGGCGCATTTGGGAGAGTAGACGGCGAGCTGTCCAATCAACGAAATTCACCTTGACTGGACGAGACGAGGCGGACACGAAAGACTGATGTTTGCATGAAGCAGACTCGAAGCTCGAATTGTCAGCGCCAAGGTTGTCACTCATTCCAGCTTCCAGACAGCGGCAGGCCCAAGTACAAATTGCCATTCACGTCAGCGCGCCACAGCCATAGGTGAAGTTTTCTTTTGACCTTATAGTCCATGAAGATGCCGACAGCCCGTCGGCAGGCCATGAGCTTCAAGAACCAACATTTGCATCGAACGCGGGACCGGTCATGTCACGAGACAACTCTGATGCCTATGCATTGTCGGTTCAGGATAGCCGAGCGGCAGAAACAACTTCAATCTGAAGGTGACCATGCTGACTACGCCCACCTCTAGACGGACATGTATAGCTTCAGCGGAGGAGACCCGCGTTGGAACCGCTATTGCACCTGAGTCAGCAGCGTTGTCATCATCGTTTCGCATTCTCGTACTTATAGCAGTTCTGAAGTGCTCTTCGACGTACGACCAAGGGACGGTCCAGCGCATACCTCACAACCACACCTGTTTCCTCAAGATGGCCACCCGTATCGCCGCCGTTTTTGGAGCTACAGGTCAACAAGGTGGGCTGCCATCGCGTTTCTCTCCGTCAGAACACCGATATGTACGTCGCGACCAGGCTCCTCGGTGGTACACGCTCTCCTCAAAGATGGCACCTTCATGCCTCGCGCAGTTACTCGCGACGTCAACTCCAAATCTGCTCGTGCGCTCGCCAAACTCGGTGCCGAGGTCGTCTCTGCCGACTTGGGCGGCGACAAGGAAGCTGTCAAGAAGGCCGTGACAGGCGCAGAGGTCGTTTTTTTGGTAAGAAATGGTACCTTTCTGCAGGACAAAAGCATTCTAATTACTCTTCCAGGTCACAATTCCGTTCAAGGCAGCTTTGCCTGAGGATGTTCAGGGTATAAACGTCATCGACGCAAGTAAAGAGGCCAGAGTGCGCTTTGTGGTGTTCAGGTATGTAGGCGTCTAGTTTTGAGGCGCCTCTTCAATGACGCTGTCCTCCGTCACAGCACTTTGCCCAGCGTAAGCGAGATATCGAACGGAAAGTATTCCCATGCGACTCAATGCGACGGTAAACTTGCAGTCTTTTTGGAAGGTTTTGCTCACCGACATCGTAAATTTCTGCAGACAAGGAAAAGATCCGGAAGTACCTCGAGGCATCTGGTGTCGCTTACGCGTCCCTCGCTACAGGCTTTTCTTTGAGAACATACTCACACCGTAAGCAGTGTCATTGCCGTACATACCTCACTTCTCTTTCTCCTTTCTTTTCGTCCCCGCGAGCTAATCCATCTTATCTAGATTCCCCGGACTTCCCTTCGAGAAGAGTGACGATGGCTACGTGTGGAACACGTATGCGCAGCCTGGCTCTGATACAGCAGTGCATACATGGGCATCCCGCGACCTAGGCCCCGCCGTCGTGGCGCTTTTCACGCAGTATACGACCCGCTCCTCTGAGATCGTCGGTCAGACCTTCGTCCTCGCGAGCGCACGTACGAGCTTCGAAGGATTCACAGCGGAGCTGAGCAAAGGTGCGTATCAGCAGACTGTGGTGAGTGGGGCTGATCTTGCTCTGTTTTGAGCTAGGTCTTGGGAAGCCGGTTTATCACAAGCACGGAGGTATAGCAGGCGTTCTCCCTGTTGATGAGATGGCAAGCAATCGGCCTAAAACTGCTAAACGCTCTGTGACTGATAGGGTTCTCAGATCTACTCCGTCGCCGAGTTTCCGTGGTATGCTGGAGTTGCTATCCCTGATCCACGTTTGGAGAAGTTGGGTGTAAAGACGGGCACCATCGAGGAATTTGGGCGAACCGTCCTCAAATCACACTTGGGAGAGTAAACTGCAGACGAATGGATATAAGTTGGCTTCTTAGTCGCAGTACGTCGCCACATCAGCCAAGTAGCTGACTCCCCGAACATGACTACAAAATGAGAAGGTCAGACCAATCTCAATCGCACGGGGACCTACGCGCGCGTCACCAGCAAACCGAACTTGAACGGAGCGCCGCTACGGCCGCCAACCTAAGTCAGCGCTGCATGACAGGTACTTATGTGGCTTGACAACCTGCCTTTCGCTTCCTATATAACATGTTTGCTCAGATTGAACATGCTCAACATTAACAGCATTCATTTGCTATCTAAATGCTAATGTCGCATACGGCACTGTGTCTTCGCAAGGAAATATTTAATTAAAGCGCTCACCGCTCGCTCCCCTCAGAACTCACTAACACCTATCATAACCCTGTAAGCCAGTAAGAACTCGCATAGTCCAGAGAATCACGAGTATGCATGTATCTTGCAAGCATTCAATATGGCCGCAAAGAATGCAGAACCAAAAAGCTCCTCGGCGGGGAGTCGAACCCCGCTCTCCCGCGACAATTAACAGGTTATGAGCCCCATGACAGGCGGGTGTACTACCCGATATACTACCGGGGACATGACAAGACTTAAAATTGGAACATATCATGCGCAAACCAAGTGTTGCGTTACTTACGGCGAAACACTTGCTGGCCTACTGCCATGGCTCGCGTGGTCCTCGCACGAAAAGACGATGCCAGGATACCTGCATGGTTTGCAGGTGTACAATTACATAGCTACAGCTCCGTATGAGTAAAGGCTTATTTGCATGAGGCGTACTTATGTCCTGCAATTTCCATTTCCGTAGTGAACGTCTGACCCTCGACACTTTAAGCCTCCTTTGATCTCTTCATTCTCCCGCGATTATCGCTGTTGACGCCATTAGCTCAGATGCGGCACATCACATAGGTCGAACACTTACGCGAACGCTGAATTCTTTCGCTTCCTACTCTCCTTCTTCGACTCATTCTTCTTTGTCTTGCGCTTTGCTGCCTGCTCGGGGTTCGTCGTAGCGAGGAGCGTACGCTTGATCTTGCGCTCCTGCTGCACGCCACGAACGTTCTCGCGGATCTTGGAGTACGCGGCGGTGAAGGCGGTGGGGGCAACCTTCGATTGGACGAGAGACTGCACTTCGATCGCGAGAGTCTTGAGTTCATCTAAAGCGTGGATGTTAGCACTGACAACAACCCTGGCGACTGCAAACAGCCTACCCATTTGAGGATCTTTGATTCCTTCATCTTCCGTAATACGATACAGTGCGTTGAGGATATGAGGCAAAAAGCGTTCTAACCGTGCAGCATCGAGGTGCGTGGACATGGCAGCGAACCAATGGAGGATGGACTGCAGTTGCAGATGCCACCTGGGATTGTTCTGGACATGCTGTAAGCGCATGCGGATCTCAGACGAATAAGCAACCTACCATCCTCGAGGTAGCGCTACTGTGAGCTATCAATACCGATCGTGCTTGATACGACAACTTGGAGAAAAGCCAGGCTAGCGGTGCGTGCTGCGGCTTCGCCTGCTCTTCCGCGCCCTCTACTTCCTCTGTATCCTCGTCGCGCTCGTCGTTGGTGTCGTCGACTGTGACGAACGCGAAGCATTTGGCAGCATATAGAAGGTTCTTGACGATCTGCAACGCCAGGCCGTCGTCCAAGTTGCTGCTCTTGAGCTGCAAGCACAGTAGACGAGAAACCTCTTGCATACCCTCCAAAGAGAGCGGACGAGCGGCTGGTTTCTGGCCGTAGAGGACGGCCGGGGGCGATGTTGGCGGTTCTGCGGCGTACAAGGACCCAAGCAATCGACATGCGGCCATGCGCACCCACGAGTGAGGGAACAGCATATGATCTGTGACGTGTTCCCAGGAAATGACTTCCTGGTCCTGGAGGACATCCGGAGACTCGCGCGCGAGCTTTGACAGGAGCGTCATGACATGATATGGCACTTGCCAGTCGAAGGCAGCATCCACGGTGTCCTCTCCAGCTTCCTCCAGCGTACTGGCGCTCCGGTCCAAAGCCGCATTAGCATCCTGTACCATGCCTTCGAAGTATGGTCGAGCGTCCGCATGCAGATCTTCCACCACCAGGCCATAGACCTGCATCGCAACGCGGACAAGTGAGGGACGATCGGCCTGCCTTGCCCACGCGCGCACGTGCGCCACCATCGTCTGGCGACCTCCGTCGTCCAATCTGCCCAGCAAGGTCTTGACCAGACCCGCGGCGCCCTCACGGCACCTAGAACTCTCGTCGTTGGCAAGGACCATAACGAGGCCCGCGAACAACAGTTCGGCGTACTCCCGTACGAGCCCCAATTGGAATTTGCCAACGACTGCACTGAGTAGTTCGAGCACGGATAGACGGCCACTCTCGTGAACATAGTTGAGGTTCTTGACGAGGAAGGCCATCGTAGTCTTGAGTCGTCCCTTCCCCTGCGGATAGTCGAGCAAGAATTGCAACAGGACGCCACGACACGCTTCGCGGACCTGTGGCGCCTGAGACGTGATCATGACCTCGCTGACCCGTTGCATCTGGTCGTACAACTCGGGCACAACGAAGCGACGCGCCACCACCGCGCGCAGCATGGCGAAGACGGCGCCTTGACGCTCAGGCTCCTCAAGGTCGGGCGCCACGATTTCAAGAAGGAATGTCAGGTCTTTCTCTTGCATCGTTGCGCCAGAGCTGTCGCGCATGATGGTGCTGAGCGAGCGTAGGGCCGTCTGGGCGACGTCGGACTCGGTACTGCCGAGATTCTTGAGCGCATCAATCATCTGCCTGGTGTAGACAGGAGAGACTTGGGCAGAGACGCGAGGGGGCACTTTGTGAGACCTGTGGCAGCCTTCATGCCAGCGATGAGCACTGAAGCACTAGAGGAGTATAGTGTGTTGCCGACGACGGGGATGATGGCGTCTAATCGCGCGGCCGTGCTACTATCCTGTAGGTCGAAGCGATTGCGGCGGAGCGCCGTGTGAAGAAGATCTAATCCGAATGCAACGAACCTGAGTGTGTGGTTAGTATGTTGAGTGTACAGATTGAATGTTCGCTCACCTGAACGAGTTGTTCGCATAATGGTCATCGTCCTTTGCCACTTGCCGCTTGACTTGCACTATCGCATCGCCCTTCGCCCTCTTCGCCCTCTTCGTCGGCGTGTCCTTCAGGAATTTGGCATTCTGGCTGATCAATGTGTGGCATAGCACCAGCAGTTCAGGGGGAGCTAGGCGCTTGTTGCCGTTGAGTCCGACGGCTACGCGCCGTAGAACATCGTCTACCAGTTGCAGGGTGCGCGCGTTGGCAGTCTCATGCAGAATACTCCGTACAGGGCTGAGGACGGCACCAATAGCACCTGGCATGACGTGTTGTGCCAGGAGCGCGAACGTATCCAAACCCTTGCTCGCCGAGCCCTTCACTTCGCGCATCTTCGTCCTGAAGCCGTCTGACTCGACGTCTTTGCCCGATGTACCGAAGACAACTTCGGCAGCGACGTGCGCTACATCCACCGCGACTGCGTCGACATTGTCAAACTCAGGTCGTGCGCAAACATGCACGAGCAACGCATGCACGACATAGGCGAGTGTGTGTAGTTGGGGGCCGCGCCTGAGCGCCTCGCGCAATTCGCGCACGGCGAGCGAGAGGCCCGGCGGGCCAAGCTGAGTTACGATCTTGGTGAGTGCGTCCTTTGCGGCGTCGCGCGTGTCCTGCGCCTTACTGCGGAACACTTGGCTCAACGCGGTGAGCAGTCGCGTCAACTGCGCGTCGCGCTTGTCCGCGGGAAGATGAGCAGCGACGGCGGCAATGCCAGGCGCGATGGGAATACGGGCGGAATCCTCTGTTGTCGCGTGCCGGTTTTCGAGATGATCAATGAGCGCGGGAAGCAGTCTGGCGTTGACGACGTCCGCGATTCGTGCGCGCCTGAATCGGGCGGCCTCGGCCTCCGGTTGCTCCTCCTTGTCTTCTTCCTCGACTTGCTCGTCGTCCTTTTCCACGTCCTCCACATCCTCATCCATCGGGAAGTGGAACGCATCGAGCACGGCAACTAAAGCGCGAACGTACACCTTGTCTCCTTGTCCCGCCTCCTTACCATTTGCGGCCCGCGCCTGACGCATATGCGCAAGCACGAGCCCGTAGTACGCGCCCCACGCAAGATGCTTGGCCATGCGTCCCGTGCATAAGATGGCGTCGTTCACAACATGATGATCCACGCCTTGCCCAGTCGGTACAATGAAGTGCGCCACAAGAGGGACGAACACCTCTGCCAGCGTCCCACTGCGTAAGGGACAAGCGCTGTCTGCCTCGCTGTCACAATAGTCCGCCAGGCGTCGTAGTGCTCGCGCGCGCCGATGTGCCTGAACGTGCAGGATGTTGTTGAAAAAGCTCGCTTCAACATCGCCACCCGCACGCAGGCCAGCCATCTCAGCCAGCGCAGGGACGGTGCGCGAAAGAACCGTTGCGCTCTCAGCACGGTCGACCGAGTAAGAGAGCACTCCCAGGAGCTCGCTTCGCACCGCGTCCGAGCGCGTGCGCAAGCCATTCCGGAGTCCCGCGTAGAAGATCTTCTTGAAAGCCGTCTGCAAGGCTGGCGCATCCGCGCGGTTGGTCTCCTCTGCAGTCGCATCTACAAACCGTTGGAGCGCCTGCGCCGTGCTCGTGCGCATTGCAAGCTCCTCCGGGTCCTGAATGGCATGGAGCAGGTGGTATAGCACAGGGGTCCACTCGCGCGCTCCCAGCAACTTCCATCCTACCTCGCCGAGAGCGCCCAAGGCAGTGAGCCGTGCGTCGACATCGGGTTCGTCAACCCGGCGCTTAGAGTACGCATTAAGCTGCGCGAGGGATTGGCAGACATATTTCAAGCTGTTGTCCCGTACTGCGAGAGCAGAGAAGGCGTCAACAAGGGCAATGCGGGCGGCGCGGGAGCGGAGGGACTGAAATAGGGGCACTAGCGCCGCGAACGCTGCAGCTATTTGGCGTGCTCGAGCATCGGGTCCTTCCATGGCGTCCAGGTCCCCGTCGAGATCACCCTCTGGCACTACCAGCGCATCCCGTACAACCCGCAAAAGGTCCGCCTTTACACGCTCCGGAACTTGCTTCGTCGGAGTGCGGAGAAGCGGGAACGCCAGACGCGCGAGGGCGGCAGCCTGCCTCCCAGAGGTACAGTGACTGGAAACCGCTGCGAGGATGCGAATACGGCGAGCGAGGAGAGCGTCGGTCGTATGTTTCTCGTTGTCCGATTTCGCGGGTGTTGGTTTGTATGATGGAGTGGATTTGTTGTCGGCGAGAGGTGGTGCGTCGTACTGGGCGTGTTTGCTGTCGGCCTTTGGCTCGCTCTTGCCTCCCGTGCCTGTCATACTGGCAAGACTCTCCAGCAAGAGGTCCATGTGAGGGAGGAGTACGTCGCGCTTGACGCTGAAGCTCGCCGCACAGACGTTAGCATCGCCTTCACTATCAGCAAGCCCCAGCAAGCCTTCAATCATATCAAACACGCGTAGCACGACCGCAGGCTTGACCGCTGGAGCTGTGAGCAGCGCAAAGAGCTGGTGGAGTGGAGTGTCCGGCATACGTCCATCGTCCATGCCCTCGTTGATTGGCAGGTCCTCGCCAACTAGCCATCTCGCCCAGTCCCGCCTGCCTGCCCACGCGCCAAGCACGTCCAGCAACGCGCCCGGCGCCTGGGTGCCTTCGGAAGGCAACAACACGATGCGCGGGCGTAGGAGAGCGGGATAGGCTGCACGTACGGCTCCAAGTAAGGCAGGCGTCGTAGCAGGTGTCGTTGGGTCTGAAAATCTAAATTAATAAGTCGAAGGGAAGAGAATGAGAACACTTACCCTCTCCAAACGCAGCTGCGACCTGAAAGAACTGTGCGAGCCGGCGAAGGGCGAGTGCGCGGATGTTGCGGGCGGCGGCGCGCGCTGTCCTACCAGGCGATGGCTTTGACTTGCCCGGCGACCTCTTGCTGACTGCGCTCATGGCCTTTCCTTCGGCTGCTTCGTCCTTCTCTGTCGCTGTGTCATTATCTTCATCCTCTTCCCCCGCGTCCTTTGCCTCCTCCTCGTCACCAACATCCTCCTGTTCTTCGCTCTCCTGATTCTCTCCGTTTCCTTTCCTCGTCAGCCTCATTTCCGCGTCCCCGCCCACCTTCACTACCACTTCCAACAGCGCGGGCCAGTACGGCACAAGGCGCGCACCCAGTTGCGTGAGCACATCACCAAGAAGGACAAGAAACCCGGCGGCGCGCTTGTCTTGCGCAGCGCGGTCAGCGTCGGAAGTATAGCTGTCGAGATTGGCATCGCTTCTGTAAACGCTGGTCAGGACCTAAAAGCCCAACGCGAAGTACGTATGCACTAACCTCACATCCCACCCTCTGCCCACTTCTTTGACCATCAACCCTACTAACAGTCCGCGCCCTCTGGCAGGTAATGAACCTAAGAGTGCCGCGGGCCGGCGCCCACGCGCGCGCAGCCGGCCAAAGAGTACACGCACAAGCAAGGGTGTGAACGCTACGCGGGCGGGCGTGGAGGTGGGCGGTAAAGGCGCCTGGACTGAAGAATCGAGGCCGTCCTCCGTTAAATTCTCCGCGTCAATGGTGTCTTCGTCCAACCTCAATCTCGCCAGCTCGTCTCTCCATCTAGTCTCGTCCAGCAGTGCATGAAGCGTATTCGCCCAAGCCGCGTATTCGTTGTCGCGCTGCGCTTGTCCAGGGCTCTCGGTTGCTATCTGCCTCCCTTCCACCCCCTTCCCGTCCTTTGTCTTTGTCTTCCCCTTCTTCTCCTTGTTCTTTCCCTTCCTGCTATCTTTGCCGTCTCTGCCACTTTCTCCTCGCACGCCCCAGAACCCGCCCAGCGCAGTCAATGCAGCTTCTTGCACGGCGCGATCAGGTCGTGCGAGCAGGTCTGCAAGTGCCGCGTATACGGTGTCATGCTTGGGCAAGGAGCGCGGGCCAGGACAGGCGGAAAGCAACCGGAGCCAGGCGAGGAGAAGGGGGCGGGCAATGGGAGGGGAGTGTGGCCGCTGAACTGAAGACGGTGCCGACGTCGTCTCCGATGCACCGACACGCAGAAGGAGCGCCTTCACGAGGGCTCCCCCGCGCGCTTGCGAGACATTCGGTAGTCGCGAAAGCACGCCCACAAGTTGCTCCTCGTGCGCATGCGCGTCATAACGCCGGATGTCGTCCTGAGGCGGAGATGTGAGTAAAGACAGGAGTATGCAGATATGGTGCAACTGGACTAAGACAGCGCAGACCACGAACTCACCTCTACACCCTCGCCCCACTTATCTGAAGGCGCCGCCGCTCGTCGAGCGGCTAAGCGCAGTAAGTGCGCCGAAGGATCGCGCCATGAGCGTTCTTCTTCTGAATCCGACTCGGCGTCGAGGTCTGCTGTGGAGGGTGTCGTGTCGACCTCCATGGAATCAAACCCGCTACGTTCTATCTCCGCCTTTGCAGCATCCATAAGCAGGTGATCGCCTGCATCCACATCGCCAACCACAACCTCCATCTTGTCGTCCCACAAATGATCTTCGACCGCATTCCAGACCCCGCCGCCCACCACATTCTCCACGTCCCGCTCAGCTAGGACAACCAGCGCGTCCGCCGCTGCCGCCCATAGAGGACGCAAGGGCACGGCAAGCTGGCCGATAAGCCAAGCCGTCGCAAGAGTCGTAGGTGTCAGACCATGCATGTTTCCACCTTCTGCATCTCCGTCCGTCTGATCTGCTCCCTGACCATCCTCAACCTCACCTACGTTGACGCCATCTCCAACTTTCCCCGTTTTCAACACCCGCTCTCGCACGCCAGCTATACCGGGTTCAACATTTTCCGCAGCTAAACAGAGCTGAAGGGCGTTGGCGACTGGCGGACCCTGGGGCTGCAGAAAAATGCATCAATGTCACTGGAAAAAGGAAAGCAAACATTCTCAACAAATGTCTACTCACCACCACGACCGCTAACAACCGCAATGCACCAAGGCGCCGCGCACGCGAGGGGCTGCGCAGCGCGGCCAGAGTCACAGTGATGTCGATGTCGAGTCCTGTTGGGGCTGCGCCAAGTTTGTCGGCCTTCGTCTTGAGGTTGGCGTTCACCCTCTCAAGTTCCTCCACCACCCTTGCCGCCCCTGCGAGCACATTTCCGCACTCCGCCCAGCGGCCGAGCGCAGCCAGCGCCCAAGATATGGGAACAATGGGGGCGTGCCAAAATGCATCGGTTGGCTTTGCGTGCGCCTTCTCCTTCATCGGAGCCTCCTTTCCTAGCCGGTCGGCGATGGCTTGAAGTGCTAAGCCGAGCATGCGCGCTCGGGTGGAGTTTGCGTCTGCTTTGTCTGCGAAGCTACCCTCCGCGTCAAGCAGTACCGTCTTGGTAGCTGTAGTGAGCGCCCCTATTGGTGTTGGGTCCGGGACTAGCGACGCCAGAGCGAGGACGGCAGGCCAAGCCGGTGCCGCAGATTCCAACTCTTGCGCCGTTCCTGCGAGAGAAACGACCCGTTCCGTCGCCCACGTCGCGATTGCACGGACTGCGACCGCGTCGAGTTGCGCGGCGCGGAGTTTAAGGGGCTTACCCAGCTGGGCGTTGCTTGCTGCTTTGTATTCCACATCTTCTTCGTCCGCGTCTTCAGCATGGTCTTCATCGTCATTGCCGTCCGCGGTTCCCCTTGCCATCCCGCCCAACAGCCTCACGCCCTCATCGCACTGCAGCAGCTGCGGCACCCTCCTGAGCACACCTGGCAGCGCGGCTTTCCAGACACCGGGTGCGCTGGATGTCCTCGCATGGATGACCATATGAATCTGTGCCGCAAGGGCGATCGGCAGCGACCAAGTCGCTGCGAGCAACGCTGAAGCGCTCGCGTCGAGTGTATAGGAAGGTGCGCAGAGGAGGAGTGCGGGAATCAGCCGACGAAGTGTCGCGTTGAGGGGAGCCGCCGCGCCAAAGGTTGCCTCCAAAGTGGATGCCGTGTGCCCAGACACGTGCGCCACCAGCTTCGTGGTAGTCTTGAGAAGCGCCTCCCGTTCCGCTGCAGGTAGCCGCGTTCCGCCACGCACAGCAGCAACCAAGAATGACGGGTCAAGCGCGCGTGATAGGGTAGTCGGGGTGGTAGATGTTGAGATGGGGGCAGCGGAGATCGATGAGCTAGTGTCGAGGGAATTTGCCTCAGTAAACGCATCCACTGTCCTTCCCGCCACGTCTGCCGCCACCCGTGCCACGCTTGCATACGCCTCAGGCCGCACTACATGATGTGCAAGCGCTGTGAATGTGCGACGAAGCAAACGCAGGCAGCCGGGGCCAGCGATGTGCACATCGACAACAGCAGCCAGGACTCGCGGGGTTGCAGTATGTAGTGACTGGGCAACATTCTGAGATGCATGTCAGTACGTCACACTATCTCAGGTCGACCTGCTCACCTTGCAAGCAGATGCGAGCGCCCACGCAGCGAACAGATCCGCCTCTTCGTCCACAGAGGCAAGTAGAGCGGGTGCAGCCTGCATGTCCTTCCTCCTCAGCACCGACGCCCATGCTTCGCCCAGCGCGCGCTGTAGCTCATCCGGTGCTGCCTTCGCGGCATCCAAGACTCGAGCATGCGTCTCGAGAAGGGCTCCCGAGGTGAGCAGCGTGCGGAATATAGCCGCGAGTGCCGCAAGCAGATGCGGCAGCGTCTCTTTCGACGGCCGGCGCGGCAGTACGTTGAGTGTCGCGTCAAGCAGGGCATCGAATTTATTTACGACCGTCGTCCTCAGATCGGTCAGGAGCGGGGGAAGGAGCCTGTTCATACTGTCAGCTACGCGAGGAAAGAATGGATCATCACGCACGCCAAAAGGACCCGATGACCTTCATCATCCGTCTCTCGCAGGGCATCCAGCCATGCCTCTACCACCTCTTCTGCATTGTGTACGAGCAGGGGGAGCGACGCCGCGAGGGGAGAAGTGCGCTTGGCGAATGCAAGGAAAGCTGGTGCAAGGTTTAGCTGTCTCCAGTAATCGAGGGCGTCGGAGAACGTGGCGTCTGTCGCTGTAGGTCGCGGGGCGTGCACATCCTGCACACTCTGGGCGTATGTTTCGTGCCGAAATCGTTTGCGCGGTCGCTCGTCCATCGTCGCAGAATCAGACATGAACTTCAAACAAATTCTGCAAGCGCCCCGATCGTCGTCGATGGCTCGGCCCGGGTACCGAGTTCGACTCGATCGTCACGCCACTGTGGCAAACAACTGTACAGTGTGAGAGCAAGTACAGTCAAGGACATCAGCGTGCAAGATACACATACTTTTTTGCAAGAGGCTGGCGAGAGGTGTCCCTAAGGCGGTGGTAGAAACAAAACTCAAAAATGATTCCAAAGCTCCTCGGCGGGGAGTCGAACCCCGCTCTCCCGCGCTTGTACTCTGACAGGCGGGTGTACTAACCGATATACTACCGGGGACATGACAGTGACAGTGATAATATTTTTATATCAGCTTCTTCCTATCATATCAAGTTAAGTATCATATCACTGGCTAAGCAACTAATCTTACTCCTATCTTGCTCTCGAGCTCTTCGCAAGCGCTCTTGAGTGTCTGAGCAGGCAAATATCTCTGTGTGAGATCATCGCGCTGACAAAATACAAAGCCATCACTAGTTTCAAGAGGGCCACCACTGCGTGTGTCGTGTGGTGAGTTAGGAAATGGGGCAAAAGCCCGCGCACCGACCGATTGAAGTTCGAACCCGGTTCGAACCAAGTTGTCTCAAGTCTTTGGATACAGATGTGTAGAATATCCCAGCAATATCCATAGCGGCGAGCTATGCGCACCTCAGGCCGCCCTCAGAGGGTTAGGGCCATCCCAAACCTCTCGTTTAACACAACTGAAAGGAAAAGCACTGAACTGTTATATCTGAATATATACGGCATCAGGACAGCAGTGTACAGTACTCTCAGCCCCTCGGTTGCAAGCTGCTACTCTAAAAACACGCGAGAACCCGTGAACAATCGTTTCGTGCCACAAGCACTACAAGAGAGATACAATAATCTCCGGCCCTTACTGCATGATTATTGTGATAAAATGATATAAAGACTTAGAACAAAGCCGATAAGGTTATTGAGTGGCATAAAGAATCCTCAGCCAATCAGGACTGCCAGAGTTCTCTATACTTCTCAGTAACCTATATGACCTTATTATGGGCTTAGACATGATAAGCTCTCGATAATCATGCAGTAATCTCTGAAGGTTATTGAATATCTCTTGTAGTGAAGCTCCTTCTCCCTCACTGCAGCTGAAAGCACGTCAGAGGACGTCAAGCCCCACTTGTAATTAATTACAGCCGTTTTCATAATGACGCGGTCCACACTATCACGCGTTTCAGATTCACTATCTCTCGTGCGTTAGATGGGTTCCCAGGCGCATTGTTTAAAATTGACCCCGATTATAACCAGACAATTAGTAGTTTACAGACTGACGCGGGTATGGGCCGTGTGGCGCGGGGGTGGCGCGGGGATGGCGCGCTCGCCACCGCAGACGGCGTTGGTGCTGTACTGCAGAAAGATAGTACATAGGAGTCAATGATGTATATGCATTCTGAGTCTGTTCATATAAGTCAGTACATGTAGAAGGCATCGTACCGTACCGCCAGCGGTATGCCGGCAAGCACGGCGCAACAGTGCATGATCGACGGCGAGTGCGAAATCGCAGCATCTCTCCGGCCACCTGCCTGCCGCGCGATGCGGGAACGGGGAAGGGGGGGAGGAGGAGGAGGGGCGGATCGAGCTAGAACTGATTGGTGGTGCCGTGAAGTGGTGCGCGGGCGCGATGTAAGGGCAGGTCGGGTGCGATGACGCCCGCGCGCGATCTGTAGCCCTGTCAGCCGTTCGGAGGTGTGATGGATATTCGTAGAGATGCGGGCAAATCGGAAGCGAGCACGTAAGGTGAGAGAAAACGGTCCTGCGGCGGGGGCAAGAGATGGACGGGCATCGGGGCAAGAGATGGACGGGCACGGGTGCTGGTACCGCGCACGCGTTCGTTGGGGCGATGGCTAGAGTATCGCGGGTGATCACGTACCAACATCCAGCGCAGCCTTCACGGGTAGCAAGCAGCGCCAGTGCATTACTCGCCTTGCCTCCCACTCGCGCATGGCGCTTGCTCTTGCTCGACCGCCTTTGCCAATCGCTTCGAGGGCGAGCGCCGCAAACTTCGGCCATCGCGGGGTCGATCGCGCAACCGCTGGCTGTGTCTGCGCCACTCCGTGCAGTACAGTCTGTACCGAATTAGATCGTTTGGTTGCGCAGCCTCGGAGCGGGGTACAACGGACGCACCTCGGCGGGTGAGCGCTCACAGCGCCTCGCCCGCCATTTCTTCTCCCGTGCGCTCTTGAGGGCCCCGTCTCGCACCAAAATCGAGTCAAAGTTGGGGGAATGCGTCTTGAGATGGTTCGATAAGTCGAGGAAGGGGTGAATAGCAACCAAGACCGCGTCGCAGTGGTGGACGCTGGGAGAGATCGGACAGTCGGCGGCTCGGACCGATACCCGAGCATCGCCGTCGTTGCGCTCAACGGCGCCGGGAGCACGCCGGATGCCTTGAATGTCCTTGTTTCTCTCACAGAAGCTTAGCGTAATACGAGCTTGACTCACATATTAAGCTTTGTGCACTCACGACCCGTACTTACAATGGATCGAAATTGGTACTCCTTCATTCGGCGCTCCAAACCGAATTTACCAGGTCAAGTACCAGGTGCTAAAGATAAGAAAATTAGTTTACTTCTTGTAGGTAGCGACTCTCGGTCGTGGTTCAATCACGCGGGGAGGGAGTCACTGTTTTCGCGTGATTCTGAAATTTCGGGGGCCCTCACTCACGACTGACTCTCGAACGCGTGAGCTCACGCGGTGAGTGACTCTCTAGACGCGTGATCAATCACGCGAAAGTCACGATTCACTCGTACTTTCACGCGAAAAATGCGACTCACGTCTCTATTTTCACGCGAAAATCGCGACTCACGGTCACTATCCTGGGTTTTGTCCAGGATCTACAGTCATAAAGCGGCGGGGGGCGAGGTACGCACCCGACACAAGGCACGCACCCGACGTCGTAAAGGGGGATCACCGTTCACATCGCCGCCACCCCTCACCGCGCTCGGACGGATGAGGCGCACTGTGTTACTAGTGAGTCGAAAACGCGTGATCCAAGTCAGTGTCGTGAGTCTCGATACTGACTCGCAAGTGCGTGAAGGGGGTCTGCTAGTGAGTCAGTCGCCCTGGGTTTTGTCCAAGATCTACAACCATAGCCGCTTGCTAACCGTGGACGACGTATGTACTACTGCCCATGTACGTAGTGTAGACTTGAATATACGAGTTTGTGAGCCAAACGAACGGCGAGACAATGACCGAAGTGCGCGTGAGAGGTGGTCGCGAGGGAGGGGGGACCTACGGCACAAAGAGGAGGGAGGGGGGATGGAGTAGCGCGGCGATGTCTCTGTAGAGGAGAATGTGAGGGAAGCGACGCGGTAGATGTGAGGCGACATGTCGGGGAAGGGTAGGCGAAGGCGCGGCGGAGGGCGCTCCCCGCCTTCAACCTTGTACTCACGTCGCCGCCAATTTCGCGCCCGCAAACTCAGTCAATTCGACTACATAGGTACAGCAATGTGATAAAGATATACCGATCCCACCCCCTGTATAATTCTTCCGCGGCGGGGTCCGAGCTACGAAACGTATACTCACCTTCGACAACGTGCCCCCTCTAGTATGCATCGCACAGAGCCAAGACGCACTCGATGGTACCTGCATGCCGTCACGGCGTGCATATGCACATGCCTACCACACGAACTGGACGAGGGGCGCCGCGGTCAGGACGTAGGCAACGAGCAATATGCCAGCGGGACTTAACTCGGTGACCCCCAGCGACGAGACACACGCCAGAGGGTACCGAGGGTTCGTATATACCCTCGCCAGCAAAAAGAACCTAGGTTGAGTGCACGTTATGAGCGAGCATTTGACGAACAAGGGGATGGGGGCATACCTTGCACGAAAAGCGACATAATTCCCCCGACGTGCGACGCGGGGAGCACCCGCAATGCCTCGACGGTTACATATGTATATCCCCCATCGAAAAAAACCTGAGGTTGGTGCACGTTTGTGAGCGGTATTGCGATGGACAAGGGTCGAGGCCTACCTCACAATAAATTCTCCCCCACGCGGGGCGGGGCTGGCGTCTCCGACGCCTCAAAGGAAACATGATGGTCGCATGTATATCCCCCTGCAAAAAAAGGCTGGGGTTGGTGCACGTTTATGAGCGAAAATCCAGCTGCCAGAGGTGGGGGGGAGGGGCTTACCTGGACGAAATATCGACGATAGCTCTCCCGTCGCGGTGCGCAGCGCACGCCTGCGGCGCATCAGAAGGTGCTTTGAGGCCATATGCATATCCCAAAACGAAAAAGGCCTGGGTTTGGTGCACGTTTATCAGCGAATAATCGGCAAACAAGGGGGAGGGGGCTTACCTGCAGTGGCAGGGTCAGTGTCACTCGACGAGCGCCGTGAGGCACGCCTTCGACTCTCCTGGGGCTACAGGGGGGTTCGTATATACCATATTCTGTATTGAGATCCTGGAGTCGGTGCACGTTTATGAGCGAGATACGGCTAACAGAGGTGGAGGGCTTACCTGGACGGAAATCGATCCCGTCTCGGTGCGTCGCGCGTAGCGCCCGCGCGCCGCGCACGAGAGGGTGCTTTGAGGTCATATGTGTATCCCGAAGCGGACAAGGTCTGGGTGTTTGGTGCACATTTAGTAGCGAAATCTCGACGAACAAGGGGCAGGGGGGGCTTACCTTCAGTGTCAGGGTCAAGACGAGGTGAGGCATACCGTCAACTCGCCCATGGCTACAGGGAAGTCATATATACCATATTCTGTATCGCAAACCTGAGGTTGGTGCACGTTTATGAGCACAGATTTGGCCGGCGAGGGGGAGGGCTTACCTGCCGCGACGAGATCCATGCGCTGTCAGAACATCCGTGAGCCCTCTGTGTCCTGCGGGGGCGTCATACTAACGACATCCATCAACAAAGATAACTGGGGTCAGTGCATAGTATAGACGGAATTTCAGCGAACAAGGGGGAGGGGGGGTACCTTTGGTGGCGGGGTCAAGAGTTCCCAGACGAGCGGCGCGACGCGCGCCCGCGACGCTCCTACGGCTTCAGGGAGGTCATATGTACCATAATCTGTACTGAGAACGCGGGGTCGGTGCACATTTAGTGGCGAAAATTGGATAAACAAGGCGGGAGCGTACCTCCCGTGAAAATCGACGATAATCTCCCCGTCCTGCAGCGGGGGCGCGCTCGCAAGGCCTCGGAGGGTATGTGACGATCGTACATATGTCCACCAACGTCGATAACCTAGGGTTGGTGCACAATTATCAGCGGAAGTCTGACTAACGAAGGTGAGGGCATACCTTCCAGCGAAACCG